GTAAAATGTGATTGGTTGCTGTTTTCCTCAATCGGCCATAAGAGGGAGCCAGAATGACTGTTAGCTCTGTTTGTTAGGGTTCACCGACAAATGCGCGCTCGACAAAAGTGCACCGACAAAACCGCGGGGAGAAAAGCACGAGTTCGAAATCGCGCCGAAGAATGAACACAGAAGCGCGCTCTAAACCTAACACTAAAGGTAACCCTAAACCTAACCCTAAACCTAACCCTGAACCTAACCTTAAATCAAACCCTTACCCTAACTCTAACCCTGAACCCAACCCTAAACCTAACTCTGAATCTAACCCTAACCCCTAACTTAACTGGTTCACCGACCCTTATCTTAACCGTAATGGCGCTTCTGTTGGTGCGCCTTTGTGGGTGCGCTGTCGACGTCGTGGTTTTATCGCCGCAATTTTGTCGGCGCGCTGTTGTCGGGCGCGCTTTTGTCGGATCACGGTTTGTTAGATGCTGGGTTGATCTGATCTGAGTGTTTTGGAAGCTGGCTGTTAGAAAGTGCCGTGAGCTATTGTAAGTTTTGCAACTGCTAGCAAGCCTTAAGTACTGAACTGATTGTATGATTATTGGACTATGTTATTTGGATTATCCCTTACCTGAAAGACATTGATGACTGACTATCTTAACCGTGTATGACTTGGACTGTTTGATGGACTCTGATACCTCTATTTCCACGAAAGTAAAAGCCTACTTAAACTGCAGTATCTCTTTATGCTGGTTTGTGTGTTCTCCAACAACACTCTCGCAATGCTTCGCTGAACGTACTCGCTCTCCCAATGGGGAGCTTACCTAACAGTATGTAACAAGCCACTGTGAAAGCCTAATTGATATTTGTTACCAAAGGACATTTCATACAAGATTTGAAGATCGCCAATATTTAGGGAGCCACTTACCATAGTTTCTCTACTTTGCAATTTGGATTTTGGACACCTTGGCAGAGGATAGCTAGCCCTGCATCACCAATATCGTTGTCTCCTATGCATAACTCTTTCAAGGATGGAGTATTACTGAGGAAAGTACTGAGGTCCTCACAACTAGCACGTGTGATCTCACAGCTTTCTAATCTGCAAATAAATAAAAAACAGTTCCAAAGCTGCACTGGATTTCACCAGAAAACTGACAAAAGAATTTTGTTTTTTCAGCAACTCTGCCTACAATAATCACAGTGTTAGAGATGGAAATCTTGCAACTACAGAACACATGGCTTTATATTTCTATGAGTGTGCATATAACAAAAATTGTTCTGAGCTTGGAAGAGAATAGCCACAATTGTGGTATTTCACATATTTTGACACAATGGGAACTCTAAATAAGTCCCCTGCTTTGTGTTTCATCATAGGGCCACAAAGAAGGGATTTAATCGATGATCAGTGCTATTTACATCCAGTTTACAAAACTGGCAAATAGGATTTTAAAACGTATCAAGCTTTTAAAACACATACATGAATACACACAGTAGACAAAAAAAATTGTTAAGTATTTTGCTGCAAAAGTGCTTAACACAAAACACAGTCCAGCATAGTTGCAAGAGCAATGGAGTCTTTTTAACACAACCTATAAATAACCTAACAACAGAAAAAAAATATTTAGACTATCAGTTTGAGATTTTTTCCTAATGCATACAATGCATACCAGTACAAGTTGTAGTTTGTAATATGATTGCAAGATGAAGTATTGAAGTATTAGCAATAGGGATTATTTGTGAATATACAAGCACAATTTACATTTGACAACCTGCTTATAATACTTATGGATCTGCTAATTTGGCTAATGGCACTTTTCTAATCTTCAACTTTTGGTGAATTACTTAGAAAGATGTGGAATAAAAACTCATTTTATCCTGAGTTTGGATAAAACTCTGAAACTCTATTTATTGGCTGCCCTTCTTATTTTAGAGGAGGGGTGTCAAACTCAATTTCATTGAGAGCCGCACCAAGGGTGGTTGACCTCGGGTCTGTGTGTGTGGGTCTGTGTGTGTGGCTGATTGGGTGGGTGTGGCCAACTAGGTGGGCATGGCCAGCTTGACAACACTCCCCAAACTGCTGGCATGTTTCCTCTTTGCACTGGTAGACCAGGCCGAAGCCACACTGGCCCAATGTTTCCTCTTTGCATTGGGTAGCTGAAGCCACACTGGCTTGATGTTCCCTCTTTGCATTGGGTAGACTGGGCTGAAGCCACAGGGGCCAGCCTCTTACATTTTCCAGGACTGCCCTGCAGGCCGGATCTCACCATACTGTCTGTGGTCCTGATGTGACCCGCAGGCCTTGAGTTTGACACCCCTGCTTTAGTGTAACACTTGGCCATCCATTTTACCTCAGCGTAATAAATCTGTTTTATTCTAAACTCAGAATAACTGAAATAACTATTCCAATCTTAAACTGTTTTAAATGTTCACTCTATTACAGTCCATCTTGGGTGGATTACCCTTTAATGTAGACAACCACTTCTTTAGAAACTTCTCAGCCGTGACATATCCCAAAAGAAAGAACTCCAGACAAATATGAACTTACTGTAGGGATTCCAAGTTAGAAGAGCCCTTCACCAAGGCTTGGCAGAGGTTTTTCACTGCTTCATCTCCTAGCTTGTTATTACTCAGGTTGAGCATTTGCAGGGACGATTTGACACATAGTACAGAGCAGAGAGCTTCTATGTTTTCCTTTGTGAGGTCACAGAATTGTAGTCTATAAGAGAGAGGAGTGAGTTGACTTCCAAAAGATAATAGTGAAGACATTTGGGGGAAGGTGCAGAGGATATACTGTATACATATTAATAACCTATGGCAGAGCTTTCTGAAACGTAATTTCATTTTAATGTATGCCAATTAGTGTACATTTAAAGTGACAATAAAGTTATTCTATGTCTTTCCAGCCCAATTTTGTTTAGTTTTCTTATTCATTTAATTAATCTACCTCTAGCTGGTCTCCATCATAACACCAACTCTAAGCAGCCAACAAAGCATCAATAAAATTGAAGAAAGCAAGCAAGTTTATCTCTCCAGTTTACAAGCAAGCAAATAACAATTAGAGCATCAAAACCCAAGTCAGGAAAATTAATGAAACTAGTTACACATCATAAAACAAAGTTCAACAACTGGATTCAGAAATCTGTATACAGGCGTACAATCCCATCAATAAATAAAATTGGGAAATCCCTGAGATTTCCAAGACAGAAAACTTACTATTAGCAGACTAGGTATTAAGCAGTAACAGCCAGAAACCAGGGCTGCTGAAAAGTCAATGACCTGATATGTAAAATGAGTACTGTTACAAGGATGAATCATTGTAAAGATGCCAACCCCACCCTTCCCTGAGACTCATGTAATTGCTAGCTTAGTCTGGATGAAAGCTCATGAATTTGGATCCCTCATTTGATATAATTTCATGACTGATCTCAATCTTAGTACCTCAACCTGCGTACCTCAACCACTATCCCATACTCTCTTCTAATTTTTGCTGGTTTATCCAATTCTGTGTTTGTGGTCCTTACAAGATGGGTGAAAAAGAAGCTTTTTAACGTGAGAAACTTCTAAACTTCAAAACATATTTTCTGTCTTATATGTACTGAAGAACTTCAAATACTTACTGTAGTGATTCTAGTTGGCAGTTTGGATCCACAAGTCCTTGGCACAGTGCTTTTCCACCTGAGGAGCCCAAACTGTTATCTCCCAGGTGTAGTTCTGTCAGAGATGATTTGCTAACTACAGAACGTAGCTTCTCACAGCAAGCTTTAGTTAAATTGCAGTTCCGTAATCTGGAATAATGAAATGGGTGTAAATTCCATTAATGCTTGAGAGTAGGAGCGGATAGCAAGTATCATCTTATTGAACGCTGTAGTTATACTGGCTGGAACATGGCAGTCAAACAAACACATTTTTGAAGGCCACAAATCCCATTCCTGAGAGCCGCCATGTCAAGAGTCGCTTGAAAGATGTTAAGGCAAATTACACTTCTCCCAATATCACTCCTCTATTCCAGCAGGGTAGCTTTTCTGTTTTTTCTTTATGAGTTCAATGACTGGCAATAAACTCTACAAATAATGTTGATGCATCATATATCTTATGCGCCATCTCAAAATTGGCAAGCAATTATAAATATAATGTTCAGCTCTTTTGCATACAGGTAGAATTCAATATTTGGTATTTACTAACAAAAGCTGGAAACCCCCTGTTTGAATCCCTAGAGATTCAACTGCCAATAATTGCTGATTTCGCCAACCTGACATGCTTTAATTATGTTGGATCTCAATTTTTTGGAATTTGGTTCTGAAATTCTGGTTCAAAACTAAAAAAAATATAATCTAAAGCAGTTGGAAATCTCATGGTTTTTTTTTTTTTTGCAGGGGGTTGGAGGGAAGGGGAGAAGGATCAGTATCTATACAAAACTAAGGAAGGAGAGGCAACAACAAACTCCCAGGGGAGCAGCCCACCTCTGCCTCAGGTCTACCTGCACTTTCTCCAGAGATCTGCCTGAGTGGGGATTGGAGCCGTTTCGAGAAGCAGGTCGAAGTGGCCATGACCATTGTAATATATATTATCAACAATATTACAGCTACATGATCATAAAGCGAACAATTGCCTTGAAAGATAGTGCTTGAGACAGGTGTAGCAAGCAGCAATTTTCTAAATGGTAGGTTAGTGTGCTGTTCCTTTCTGGACAAACTCTACTTATGTGGTTGCTAAGAGTCAACACTGACTGGGTGGCATAGAACCGATTAATCCTGCTATACTAGTTTTCATTTGTCAGCTGAATCAACGTATATGTGCCTTTTTCAATATTTACACATTTCACTTATTTATGTCAAGGTGCCTCTAAACCACAGCCCTCATTCTTTCCAATTAAATACCAATATAATGCTCTCCTTGCTATATGAAATCAATGCTTGTTTAGAGACGTGAGAATTCAAACTTCCATATTCTTCTCTTAGTATTATTCAACGCAAAAGAACTTGAGTTTTGTGATTTATTATATTTATTTATTAATTTATAATATGGTATTATTGTGGAAACAAAGGAAGTATTCCCCAGGGAAAAGGAGTGTAACATGATTATCCTATCAACCCAACTTGAAAAATCATTTAAATATAGTTGACTGTAAATCTCCTATACTTGCTGTTTTCAGATAGTCCTTATTTAACGTCTACCCATTCAACGACCATTACAAAGTTGCTGAAGGAAGGGACTTATATCTTTGAAGTTTCAGCCCCTGCAGGACCCCTGCAGTCATGTGAACAAATTCAGGCCCACCTGCATTTACAGCTCCCTTTGGAGTATCCATCAGCTGCCCACACTACCCAGCCCCGCCTATTGCCACACATCAGTTCTCCAGCAGCTGGGGCCTTGTCCATGGCACCTTTTGTGCCGATGCCAGTGGGAACTCTCTCTCTCTCTCTCTCTATTTGTCCAAGGCCTACAATTTAGTGCCAGTCAGGGCTTTCTTTTGTTTCTCCTTTTTCTCCGGCTATGTTAGAGACCCAGGCAGCCCTGCAGCAAAAGAAAGGAGTTCAAAGAAGGCCCTGGCTGGTACAGTAGTGACACACAATGTGGCAGGCTTGTAGGTGGCAAGGGAAGCTGGTAGGCATGTAACCAAACAGGCAGAGATGGGGGAAAAGAGGGTATTGGGGGGGTTGATAAGGAGATAGTCCCTTACCTTTCTGATGCTCAGGGCTGGGAGGGACCAATGTGGAAATGGCTTGGATGGTGGGGGAGGTCCTTGATTAAGGGCCAGTGGGATTCAGTTAATGGCAGCAATAGAGAGTGCCCAGGTTGCTGTCATAAGTGAGTCACATCACATTATAGGAAGTCTTAGCCTGACGATCACAACTGAGCCCAAAATTTATGTTGCTAAGTGACACATTTCTTAAGTGAGTTTTGCCTCATTTTAAGACCTGTATTGCCAAAGTTGTTAAGTGAATCACTATACTTGTTAAGTGAGTAATGCGATTGCTAAATGAATCTGGCTTCCCCGTTGACTTTGCTTGTCAGAAGGTCGTCAAAGGGGATCACATGACCCCGGGACACTGCAACAGATATAAATATAAATCAGTTGCCAAGCATCCAAATTTTGATCATGTGATTATGGGGATGCCGCAATGGTCATAAGTGTGAAACATGGTCACAAGTCACTTTTTTTCAGTCAGTGCTGTTGTAACTTTCAATGGTCACTAAATGAACTGCTGTAAGTTGAGGACTACTTATATGTTTGCTATTCTAACCAGATGTAATAAATACCATAGTTGGCCTATAACAATCAACAATGAATTGTATTGAGAATTTATACCTGGGAGAAATGCTAGGCTACTTGTATAGCCACATTTGGAAGAGATTAACAGGGAAGGCAATAACTATATAAAAGTTTCCACTTGTGGGAGGTATAATCCAAAGCTACTAAAGCCATTATGAATTTTGGAATATTTACCTTAGTTTTTGAAGTTTGCAATTGGGGTTTAACAATCCTTTGCATAGAGCATCTACACCAGCATCTCCCAGTTCATTGTTGCTTAGATTCAGTTCAGTTAGTTCTTGGTTGGTAGTCAGAACAACAGAAAGATCTTCACAATGGCTAATTCCCAGACCGCAGTCATCCAATCTAAAAATTTAGAGAGGAAATAGACATTAGCTCTAATTTAGCCAGATGAATTATCTGCCATCTACAACACCCTCCTAGGCTAAGCTTATTAGTACACCTTTAAAATGCTTGAATAAAATCTAACAGGTGGAACATAGCATGTGTCTCAAGTATTTAAGAACATCCTGGAGCAATATACATAATTGCTTACATGATTCAACATACACTTGCATGATTCTCCCCACCCTTCTCCTCCCTCCGCAAACAATACAATGTGCTTTCAGCAATTTGTCCAAGATGGCTAAAGAAGATTTATGAGCAAAGTCCATGGAAATCACATGGACTGGAGTGAGAAAGAGAAAACACTATATGCAGTGTTTTTCAATGCTAGTGGCTAGGGAATTCTGGGAGTTGAAGTTCACACATTTAAAACTTCCAAGAATGAGAAACATGGGTATATGGGAAAGCAAAACATTGGAGGGGGGAAGAGGGGGGAGGTACCATCCTTCATGTGAGTGACATTCCAGAAGAATTTTTGTGCTAATCCATTATTAATTTTCCCCAATTCAAATCATGAAAGGAAATGTTAGAATTGTTAAACAAGGCCTTCAAAAAGCCCTTGAAATTCACTGAATGTTGTTAACTTACCTAATTGTCTTGTGCTGTTTCATGGATTCAACAAGTTCTTTCCATTTTGATGCCTCAAATTCTTGGCACTGCAAGTCAAGGTCCATTTCTGAGGTTTTAACTACAGAGATGAGAAAAAGACATCCTCGGGTTAAAAAAAATAGCCCACTTCAATGCATGACTGGATGCAAACTATTCGAGTTACATTTTTGGTCTTTTGCAATTACTGTCACTTCAAGACAGAATTTCTTCATAGACGCCTACCTTGCTCAAGAGCTAAATACTTCTGTCTGAAATCATTTGGAACTTTAAAAAGACTCCTTTGAACAACTGCTGCAATACTTTTGCAGCACACATAGATAAATTATGAAATGTTACACTCAAGAGGCAGCTCAGCTTACCAGAAAGAAGGAAGTATAATAGAGGCAAAGCACGTGCATTGCTTACCAAAAGTCATGGTATAATTCCTGGTACTTTTAAGTAGAGCTCAAGAATATTCTCGTGAAAATCCTGGAAAATTGTTAGTCAGATCTGAGAAAAACTGCTATCTTTTTGCTCATTTTTCTGATTTTCAAGGGTTTGGGGGAATAGTTCACCATAAGTCTCAACACTCCTAAAAAAACCTACCTCCTTTACTTTGGTGATTTCTTGTCTGGTTGGTCATCTTCCTTAGTAGAGCCAAGAAAATTTCCCACATCTAGACTAGTAGGGCTTAGTGAATTGATGTTAGCTTCTTATGTGCCTATGCTGTATTTGATTCTAAACATAGTGCCCAGGCCTCTAATATTATTCAAAATCTCTCCAAGAGTTACAATTGCAATCAAGTAAATTTAATTTCTGCAGGAACACATGCGTTAGTTACTATAGATCCTGTGGACTCCAGACACTCACTTAAGTTTGTAAAAAATTTCCTTAACACATTTATAAATGAATCTTGGCATAAACTGAGTTATTTAAGTGACTGACACAGGTCACTCCAATGATTATTCACATCAGATAACTTTCCAGAAAATATGTAATTGATCAGTTCTAGTAAACCTGGCCTTAATATTCATCCTAACTACCAATGCATTCTATATATAATCTTGCCCACAAAGAAGTGATGTTCTAATAGTGAATTCACCATAATTATAACTGCTGAAGGGATGAACAGCTTTATGCAGTGTGCAAATTAGTCTGTTCATTCTGAATACATAGAAGGACTGTCAACCTCACTCACTTTCAATTTCTATGCTTTAAATTCTAAGGGCAACAAAAACCTATTTCTGGAATGTTTTTTCCAGCTTTCAAAATATGATACATGAAACCCCACAGCCTTCAGGCAGGCAGGTCTGTACAGAGCAGGAGTTCTGCATAGTATTGTTTCAGTGCTACTCGCTCCCACTTTTCCTGGAAGATAAGTTGGTTTGGCCCCAATTCCTATGTAATTCCTGTTCTTGGGGTCCCCCCTCAATCGAGCTGCATCTACTGACTGAGCATTTGTGCTCAGTATCTTCATCTTTTCTGGACTGCTAAAGCAAATGGAAGCCATGGAGCTTTTAAGTCAACCTTGCAATCGCACCAATAACTATAGAAAGAAAATCCCCAAGACTTCTGTGAAAGGACTCCCCATCACTACCTTAAAGCTTAAACAAGGTGGAAGGACAATGTATGTCTATCTAGTTTGTCTTGACCATACCATCACTGACATATAGTGTCTGTCCTTGGCTGAAAATTGCTCCACACTGCCAGCTTAAAGCCAAAGATATGGGAGTATTAGATAAGGTATTCTGTTATTGTTCTATATGTAATCACTAAGATTTAGCAGTTTATTTCTGGGATGACAACATACTCTTAAGAATGGACAACTCAATTGTGCAACTCAAATCCTCCTATTATTTTTTCTCTCCACCCCACTTTTTAAAAATTCCAAATATTCTATAGTTGCTTTGCCAATCACTTTCAGATATACAAGCCATTATCCCATCCTGAGGGAAGAGAGCATGGTCCAGAAATTGCCTTTAGTTATGGACAAAGAAATACTTCATAATATCAAGTAATTCTTGGGAATATGTATTCTATTTGGGACTCTCTCTGCAGGAAGCAGCCAGATTGATCTTGTTTAGACTTTGAAAATAAACAGGGTTTAGGCTTGGCTAGTTTTTTTTTTTTTTTTAAATTTTTTTTATAAACAACTCATGACAGTGAACATACCTGATTTTCCTTTCTTCTCCTATTTTCCCCACAACCACCACCTGGTAGGTAAATTGGGCTGAGAGAGATTGATTGGCCCAAAGTCACCCAGCCGGCTTTCATACCTAAGGCCGGATTAAAAATCACATCTCCTGGTTTCCAGCCTGGCGCCTTGACCGCTACACCAAACTGGGAATCCTCCAATTGGGTAATTTAAAAATATATTCCAAAAGAAAGCAATCTCAATCCACCTTCGTACTGCTTCTAATACAATTATGAGGCATAATATCCATTAAGTCGAAGAAATTCAGTTCAGTGAAAAGGAGATTTTACTACCATCACTGTCTGTGGCTGCTCAATGGTTGGTGCAAATAAGCCTTTATGAATGCTGCTCTATTCATAATTAAGACAACAAAACTTCCAATTATGTTTTTCACTGTAATGCTACTGCCGATAATAAAAAATCATAACCTTTGTCATCCCACAGCTTTTTCAACTCAATGCCATTTAGATACGTTTACACAGCCTGGAAATTGTTATCCTGTCTTCTGTAATTCCATAGCAGGTTCAGAAAGACTGAATTCTATTCTTTGCCTCATTCTACTTTCCTTTTGGTTCTTTTATTAAATTATCAGTAAGAAGCTGGCATCCAATAAAGCACTATGCCAGCTTTTAGCCTCGTATTTATTTCTAAGAATGCTCCTAAACCTTCATAATACCCACAGGTGTTCTTACAAGGTAAAAATTAAGTTGCCACACAGTATTATGGTTTGTTTGGAAGCATGTCTATCCAGAGGGGAAAATGACACAAAAATAAGTAAAAGTAGTAGTAAATATCCCTGGGGTCTCAAGGCCCTAATAAGGTACAAATCTATCATCTGCTATATCAATTAATCCAATTTAATAGATCATACACATCTTCATATTCATCTTAAGAGTTAAATAGTGTGTCCTCTGGCCCATATTGTCCAGGTGTGCTCTAGGCAAAGCAAGTGGAACAAGTTACCAGCCATCACTCAAAAGAAAATGTCAGCTGAGATGGTGATTTGCTTATTGTCATATTTAAAACTATATAATCAAGGAGCTTCTTAAAAACTGATCCTGTCAATTTATTTCTTGCCTATTCACCATGAAGAGTTCAAGAGAATTCATAAAACTATTGTTATAGCATATTAGATTTAATGTTCCAGATATAGTTATTTAATGGCAATATAATCACACCTGAAGTTTAAAATGAAAACTCTGGATCATAGCTTATGTTTCAAAAACTTTTTCCTTTCCCTTGCCAAAGGCATAAGTACCACCAAAGTGCCAATTACCCATGGGAGTATTAACATTTAAAATTAAAGGTGCTGCATGCTTCAAAAATTTGGATAATTGCTTTTGCACATATTACTTCTCCACCATTCATAAAGCAGTCCTGGTTTTTTTCCCCAGGTGCCTGATTGAGCCATACAATGCTGCCGCTTTAACAAGTTAACTCCTTCAAGCACCACTAGCATCAGTTTTTGCACATAAACTGGAAATAGTTGAAACTGCTATAATGAACATTGTAAAGAGGAATGCATTATGACAGGCTGAGAAGTGTTTCTTCCAAATTATTTTGAAATGTACACATTTCCACACTCTAGATAGAAAGAAAAGTGAGTGTTTTATTTTGCAACTTCAGTTAAATGTTTCTTCTAAGCTTGGGGGGGGGGGGAGAGCGAAAGAAGACAAACAAAAGCAAGAATTGAAAAATAGTTGCTTTTTTATTAGTAGCATGGTTAAAAATTTGAAAGATTATTGAACTTGATTCCTATGGAAGGAAATCTGAAAACAGGCAGTGAAAAATGCCTTCCACAAATTAAAACCACCCTCATACACAGAAAGACTAAAAGCAGCCTGCTACTGGTAAATGGACTAACAAATTATTGAAGTTTCTTTTATTTAAGTAAGCACCACACCAAACTTAGTGCCTTACAGCTGAATTGGGCCACAACTTTCTTATATCTCATTTATTAGTCCTTCTGGTCATATGACCAAAGAATTATACAAAATGTAGTGCCAAAACTTCAGAGGATGTGCTACCCACATCTGCTCAGGAAAAAAATCAGATGACTATTAGAGGGCAGAGAGTTAAGATTGCCTCTGCAATTATTAATCTAATTTACATTCACCCCATCAGAAGACTTAATGTCTTACACAGATAATCAAACAATAGCTATACATAGCAACATCTTATAAATACAAGTAAAACCCCAAATTACTTTAAAAAAAAAACAGGAGGGAGATTAAATGGGGTATCTTTATTTCTAACGTCTTTAAAGGGAACTTTTTAGCAGAGGACACTTTTCTTCTGGCACCCTCTAAACCTAAAAATGTCATGGCTGCCAGTCACTGGATTTTGGGCAGACCTCATGCACTTAGCTAGCCATGGTTCGAGAAAATAAAAGTGAATTAAATTCATTTGGCAGCTAAGGCTTGCTGCTTAAGGCTGCAATTGCCTTAAGGCAGAGGAATCCAAACGGCGTCTCTAACCTGGAATGGCGCCGGGACTCCTAAAATGACGGAGAAACTTTTAAACATAGACAAAATAACGCCACGGTCTTTCTCCTCAACTGAAAAGTTATTTCCAGCTATTATTCAGTGCGAAGCTATGACTCGGAGCCTCTGAGTCACCGTTAACGATTCCCTTTCCTCGTTTTGTCAAGTCATCTTCTTTGAAGGGAGCCAGAGTTGCTTCGCTGCAAGTGAGCCGAGTTTTTCCAACGGAACGAAAAGGGCGTGAGCCCGTTCACGAATACAATCCAGGACAACTTTCAAACGGGGTCCCCCCCATTTAACCCCAAGTAGTAATTTGGGACCAGGAATGAAAATCAGAAAGTGCCGCGATTTTCTTACTACGTTGCCAACGAAGCACGATTTGGGCTCGCAGTTGGCTTTCACCCCCCCCCCCCTTATTTTTCTTCTATCCCCCCCAACCCAAATTACTTAGTTTAAACCCGACTATACGAACACCATGGCCAGCACTCCGCCACCCCGACCCTCTCACACCTGGTTAAACAGTAGTAACAGTCAAGGGAGGCATTAACTTACCGAACTGTCGGGAAGACGAAAAACGACTAACAGATCGCTTGCCTTCAGCCCCACCCACCCTCTTACGGGAAAATATCTTCTCCGCTTCGGCCACGCCCTTTTCTCTCGCAGCCAATTGGAGGAGAGTGAAACCGACATGCATCATTGCTCCGCCCTCCTCGTCCCCCACCCCAGCCCACCCCCAACCAAGGCGTCTCCTGTTGCGTTCGGGCTTGCTCACAATCCCGATGAGGCCATCGGGAATTTTCCATGGATTGAGAGCAATTATTTAGTTGCTAGGGAAGGTTCGCGACGCCCTTTTCGCAGCAGAGATGAAGGATGTTATTTTGCTCGAGATTCGTGCCAGCTTTTTTATTTCCTCACATCAAAGAGGAGTAAAATCCCTTCTGCGAAGTTTTAAAACTCCCCTTTCTCAGCGAACCCACCTCGCGCTATTTGGTGGAGAGTAAAAGGCAGGCTACAAACAAACATGGTTACATAACTAAAATTCAATTGTAAAACAGGCGTCCTGCAAAAATATTTAAAAGGAAATAAAAATAAAGGGATCAGAAATCCTAATGTCAAAAGTCAATTATCTTCAAACATTGCTCCGCAACCTAATCTGTTCCACGTTCTGAGCAGCTTCAATAAACTCTTAAGAGCAATTTATTACTTTAACTGAGCCATTAAAGCAATATAAGACTAAATGCCATCTCCTTCTGATAACCTCAGTGGTTATTCATCCCTGTCTTTCTTATCAATCTATTTGAAAACTGCCAAATTTAACCTTTTGTATCAGTTTTTTCAACCACTGCAAATAATGGCTTTTTCCTCAGTCTGGTGTTTTCCAGATGTGAAGAACACAAAATAGATTATCCAAATTATAATCCCATACGGCGAGATAGCACATGGTATTGGGGAGGGGGCTGTGCAAGTAATTCTTAATTTACAATCAGAACTGGTGCGCCAGAATTTCGGGTGCTAAACAAGATGGTTGTTAAATGAGTCATGCCTGATTTTTCTTCTTTCTTAGCCATAGCTGTTAAGTGAATCACTGCAGTGATTAAGTAAGTAGTACTTTCCCCACTGACTGCTTATCAAAAGCTGGTTGAGAAAGTCACAAATAGAGATCACATGATCCTGGGATGCTGCAATTGCCATAAATATATGCTGGCTGCCAAGCACCCAAAAGTTTGAATGTGTGATCATGGATATGCTCTGGCACTTGGTTGTAAGTCATTTTCTGTAGTGCCATTGTAACTTCGAACAGTCATTAAATAAATGGCTGTAGGTCAACTGAATGGCTGTATTCAGTTTCAGAAATGCATACTTTGAAAAAATACCCAGTTGTTGAACAGGTTTGTGACTAACAATTGATCCTATCTTCTGTCTTAATTATTTTCCCTAGGGCCTGCATATTGTGTTCTTTTACTTCCAGTAACCTGAGCACATTTAAGAACCATCATTCAGCTCTACGATATGCACTGAAAATGATTATGAAATTCTATACCTTCCATTTCTGGTAACTGCTTTCTTTGTGGCTTAACTTCAGTGGTTGGGAAAGTACATTTGCACAAGTTATAAGTTGAAACAAGTAAAACCAAAACTCAACTCACTATTGGGGAAATAGTGGTCCTACAAAGTCTTGGGAAACCTAACCAGCTGGCCTAGGAGGATAATAAGTAGAAGTTACCTGAGTGTAAATAGAAAGAAATAGGAATTTTGCACTCCTGTAGTGGTAAGAACTATGAAGGAAGGTTAACATGGATACTAAAAGGGGAACGTATAGACTATATAGGTATCAGCACAAAGCTATTCTATTCATATTTGAAATGTTCCACAGAAATAGGAGAGTATGATCAGAACACTAATAAACTTAAATAAAGGTAGTCCTCAACATAGGACAATTGAGCCCAAAATTTATGTTGAGACATTTTAAGTGATTTTTACAACCTTTCTTGCCACAATTAAGTGAATCACAATTGATAATAACCCAGTTGTTAAATGAATCTGGCTTACTCATTGATTGTCAGAAAATGACAAAAGTATATGACCTTGGGATATAGCAACAGTCATAAATATGAACCAGTTGTCAAGCATCTGAATTTTGATGTCATGATCATGGGGATGCTACAAAGGTCGTAGATATGAAAAACTGTCGTAAGTCACTTTTTCAGGGCTGTTGTAACTTTGAATGGTCAATAAATGAAATGTTGTAAGCAGAGGACTACTTATATATACCAGTAGTAATGAAACCAAGAAGAGATTCTTCTTAACAATTGTATTCAGGATAGAATTATAAACATTGCAGTTATTTGGAAAGAAATCTCATAAGAGTTCAATGGATTTTCTCCCAGGTGAATAATCAAATACTGAAACTTAAATGTGTTTCTCTAAACTAAAATCCATTTAATATACTATCCTCTTATTATGGATTTAGGCAGGACAATCCATATCTAGGACATTTTGGAAGTCATTGTGAATACCTCAACCCCTGTTGGTTATGCTGGAAATTCAATCTGGAAAACATCCCGCTGTGGAAATTTGAAGGAGACTTAGGTACCTCAAATGATCTCCAAGAATTATTTCCAAGAATCAAAGAATTTGGAAATGAACAATATTCAATTCTCTCCCCCCCCCCAGCTTTATGACAACTCATTTTACAAACCACCCTGGATATTTAGTTGAAGAACAGTATACAAAAATCTGAGGAAGTAAATTAGGCAGTTCTATTTTGGTTGCATTTTGCTCTAAAGCGGCATGGTAGTGAGCCACAAAGCGGCCCATTTGCTCGCTCAGCGACTCCTCAGTTACATTCGCAACGTGGGCGTTCGCCTTTGCTTTCTGGCTACAGACTAACCGCGCCCTTTCTTGTACACCTGCCAGGGGCGAGACATCTTTTCCCACTTACATCCCTCGGGAAAACCCCAGGCGCGATACCCGGTAGCAAGAGGAAACGCCCGGGCTCCACGCGGCAGAACGAAGCAGCTCCGGAGTTTCCCCAAAAGGGCGATCATTATTCCCTCCAAGCAGCCTCGACTTCCTTTTTTCCCTTTCAACACCCCCTTTTCTTTGTAGAAGGGCCGGCTCGGTTTACCACGCCGCATTTTCCGCAGTCGATCAATCGTCGCGTCCCCCAACCCCGGGAGTCCAATTTGCCAGGCCATACTCACCGCCCACGGATTTTGTGGAAAAGGAAGCTGGCAATAAACGTCAGACGACAACTTCCTACTGTCTTCGTTTCCGGGCAACCGGCCGTGTTTGGTCTAAATACCCTTCGGTGCTGCCAAATGCAAAGGAAAACCTTACGAAACCTGGAGCGCGTCGGGCCCCGCTAATTTAAGGATTATTTATTGAACAGGGTCTGACGAAATTTGGAGATGATGGACTCATTTTTTTATGCATTGAGTTTCCCGAACTTGAATACGGAAATGCGTGATGATAATTGCATTGGAAAGGGAGAGACAAAGGGAACTAGAAAGGTGGCGGCGCTAAAGCTGCTTAAATGCATTAAATCTGATACGGAATGCTATGTAAACCCGTAATTCTTAATTCAGCTTCTCCCCGCCCCCACCACTGCGAATGCCACTCAAAGGCTCCTAAGCAGGACAGATGTTTAAAATGGGGTGTGGGAAGTCTGCCACGGAGACAGCTAGGGGATCCCATTCTACCCACTTCCCCCTCCCCGTTTCAATAGCAAGTCTGATTGGTTTTAAAGAAATACCAGATGTGATCGGCTATTACGATTATGCTGAAAATTATCCAGAGACCTTGGCTTGTTTGCATCTGTGGTTTGGCTTGCCAAGCCCAACTTAGACTGCTAGTTAAAAGACCACATTCACAATTTCAGGAAGCCAGGAAATCTTGTGGTGCTGGCTTGTCAAAGGTGCACTTGCATGTTAAAGCAGTTTATAGTATGACAAAAATTGTTAAACAGAAGTAATATCAGTTAAATCAATTGAAGTATAATAATAGCTCACCTGATTTGTCTGTGTTCATACAGATCAAACTACTTGATTGAACAGTGAATATAACCAGTGCATTCACCAATTAAAAATGGCATAATATGTTTCACTGTAAAGAACAAAACAGAGATACAGTTAGCTATGTTTATATTGCTATAACATTTGCAATTATCACTCTTCCATCCTGTTTCAGAGCACTAAAGACGGTAGAGAGTAACCAAAACATTTTGTCTTTAAATGTCTATGTACTGTATTTTTTGTCACTAATAAATTGTTTAAGTGACATAGGTACTCTCCTGAGATTTATATTACATTTGCACACAGAGGAAAGAGTTCTGAATGGATTTTGGCAAAACATTCTTGCTTTGATTTTATAACATACTGCAAGAAGCCTCACTAAAATATTATAGAAAATGGAAGAAATATAAATGATCAAAAAAGGAAACAAAAATCGCTATATTGGCTTTGTATAAAACAAAATAATTGCTTTGTAAAAAGAAAAGTTATAACATTTAACAAGGGGAGACAGGCTACAAAGGCAACAGTGTTAAGGTAGCTTTATTTATTAAATCTGATATACTGCTACTGTCTGTTAATTCTGAAATAAATTTCCTTCCATCATCTCGTTAAAATATGATTTATTTCATGCCTGTTATATTAATTGACCCATATAATTATTGTAAAGTATTAGAACATAATACTGTAGTTGCAACTTGCCGAATATAGTTTGAAACTTGCCAGTGGCATGTTTGACTTTAAAATTCAGCTAAGGCTATTTGAAAGAGAAACACATATTCTTGTCATTAAATAATCCACGTCTGATTTCTAGAACAGCAATGATAATTTCAGTTCAATGAATGGCAATCCATTGTAGCATATCCAAAGATTAGCCTGAATTATGATTACTACCGATATTGCAAAATGCTACTGCAGAACCATGGAGCATGTTTTGAATAGTAGTGGATGCATTAAACACTTGTGGGGAGGGGGGTCTTGTGACTTGTGGCTGCAATTTGGGCTCAAAGTACAAACTGCTGAGGAAATCTTGTCAGAATGTTTCTTCTATTCCACAAAATATTCACATGAGTTAAACACCAAAAACCAACCTAATGTCATAACAAATTGGAATTCTTTGTTTTAGGACTCTTCAATCTTTTCCGCATTAATATTTAACTATCTTTATTAAAATAAATATTTTAAAGTGATCTAGTTGATCAGGAGCAACTTTTAAATGGATTGCAAGTTTTTTTTAAAGGATTCAGATAACTATAAGCCTGCTAGGAGCCTCAAAAAGACTGAGCAGGTCTTGAAATTCTAAAAGCTTTCAGAAATATTGTAAACATCAAAAATCAAGGTGATTGGGGCAGGGGGTGCGCTTTTCCCCAGATAGTGGTATAGGCACTTGCCTATGCATGGCTATACCAGAAGTGTACCAGTCAGCCTCTCAATGCATCACCAACATAGCAGTTTGAAGGCAAAAAAAGAGAACAGAAAATGTAGTGAGACTTTAAGAGAAGGGATTCATACTATTTCCTTTGTATTTCACTGATTTTTATTTTATTTTATCTGGAGTATTGCTTTTTTTCTCTACAGAAATACAAAGTATTGGAGACAGGAGCTTACGTCGCAACGACACAAAGTGCGATCTTGGAGCTACGAGATCGCAGTCAATACTTTTGCTGCTGGGCGGTCCATTTGGACCTAAACCGTCCTGAAGAGATGATGACAGGAAAGAGTATGTCTTGCTGATCTCAGGGCCATCGCAAAGTCCCTGATTGATCCAAGAGAATCTCTTCTTGCCGATGACATAAGCACAGCCCCAGGCTGCCAAAGTCAGGACAGCTCTGCAACAGGAGGAAAGCGGAAAGAGAAAGTGTGTCCATTTGGTGAAGAAATCTTATTTTTATAAAAGATTGCCCAAAAAAGATTGAAGCTAAATTAAATTGGTTAAGAAAAGAAAATAAGAGGCGAAATTAAGCATTATTGGACAGTGTGTTATCCTTTTTTATTTTTTTTTATGGATGGAAGTTTTCTAAACATTTTTTACTTTTTAAAGTGAAAGTATCAGTTTTTCTTCTACTTCTTTTTTACCTATGGATTAAATCTTTTTCTTTATTTCTACAATACTGGTTGGGATGGATTTTTTCTTTTGTTTCATTTAAGAATTTTGTTTCTTCTAAGCCTGAAACATAAAGAAGATATAAAAGGAATATAAAGAGGGTAGTAACCTCAGAGGGAAAAGAAGTTACACTGCCACTTGGAGGTTGGAGGTTGAGTTCTGGAAACATTGCTTTTTCTTTCTTTTCTTTGATCATTTTGACCTTGCACTTCAAAGGCCTCAGGTTGTTTATAGAAGAGATAAAAAGAAGAACATGGGTTATTTATGCAGGTGCTCTTTGGATGCTCTTTGTAGCTGGAAAGAAGTCAAAATAAACCTTTGTTTTTAAACTAGAGTGGCAATGTTTACTAACTGGAAGGATGGAGCAACACCAAGAAGAAATCATAACATTACAACAGATTATGTTTGAAATTCAAAAATTATTAGAAATAACAGAAAGCATTGAGAAGAGATTGGAAAACATTGAAAATATGAATTGTAATGTGGTAAAACCTGATGGAAAAATGGAAGATATCCAGCAAATGGAAAAAGTAGAAGCTAGAGTCCTAAAAACCCAGGGGGAAAATGAACAAAGAGGCAAGATAATTGTGGATATTGATAGTGAACTGAGTGTGGTTGGAGATGGAAAGAGTGGAACATGGAAAGGGAAGATAGATGGTAAGGTGCTCTACTCCACGTTTCAAGGTATAGAAGGAGAAAAAAGAGAAGAATTGATGGACTTAAGGAGAGAGACTTTGACAAAAGCACTACTGATAACCAAAGATAAGCTGATTAAAGATGCTGATGGAGGGTCTCGAGATTTTACAAGGTATGTAATAAGCAACAAGTTGCAAAGAGAAGTCCACACAAATTTGATTAATAACTAGAAGACTAATTCCACAAATGGCAAAAGAAATAGGACTACACTATTACTGGAAAGACGCAGGTTGAGATATGGGAATGAATAACAAAACACTAGTTAAACGTAGTTAAAATTAGAGCATAATGTTAAAAATGAAGGGATAATGGATAAAGCTAGATAATTGATAGTGATAACAATGTACACATATTTATTGGTTTGATAAGAGGAAATTTGGTATAAATTTTAAATGGTGACCATGAAAGGAAGCTTAAAAACTCTGTTATGTATGAAAACTTATAATATAACAATGATAATAATGTAATGATTGTATTGACATGATAAAAGGGAAATTGGATAAAAATTGTAAACAGTGATTAAGAAAAGAGGTCCAAAATTTTTGTTATCAAACATAATTAATTTTTATTTTGAATGTGTCATAAAGATATAATGTTGCTGGAGGATATTGAAAATAGATAATGGAATGCCATTATGTGGTTTTGTTTTAAATTTTGAAATATTTGTTATAAAAGGACGTTAAAACAACTATAGTCATATGAAGGATGAGGTATGATGATAGTAATACATATAAATATATCAGATGTAAAATATATAATTAATTATGTTTGATAACAAAATTTTGGACCTCTTTTCTTAATCATTGTTTACAATTTATATCCAATTTCCCTTTTATCATGTCAGTATTATACCAATTATTACATTATTATCATTGTTATATTATAAGTTTTCATACATAACAGAGTTTTTACATTTCCTTTCATGGTCACCATTTAAAATTGATACCAAATTTCCTGTTATCAAACCAATACATATGTGTACGTTGTATATCGCTATCAATTATTTATCTAGCTTTATCCATT